CAATGCTGGAGCCCAGTAATGTGCAAACAAAGGCAGAGAATCCATGTGGCTACTTAACATGGAAAATCTCCATCCTGCTTTTCACAAGAATGCAGGAGGAAAAGCCCTGCTGAGCTAGGGATGTGGCAGGGCAATGTTGTGCCAGTGCATCACAGTAGTGGTTCCCATGACACCCACAATGTTGTGAGGCAGCAAGATAGGAGGGCAAATTTGCAGTGGGTGGAGGAACGGTTTAACAGGCAAGAAATAGAATCAGTCACTGGGGATGCTTTACTGGGCTCTGTTTATCTACCTTTGCGATACTTCTCATTAGCTGTCAATTTCATTTACCAGGGCAGAGATGGAGAAAAATGATTGCTCGTTTCCAACAAATTCTGGGACAGCAACACCAGGAAGAACCCCCACAATATTTTGGCTTTACTTCATCCCAGCTATCAGCTACACAACAGCTGCACGTTTTACAATGACTTGCTGGAGAGACAATGATTGAAAGAGCCAATCTGTGAGACATGGAGAGACAGTGGCAAGATATGACAGGAGGGAATGGAGAGAATGAGGTCAAACAACAGTCAGTGCCAAGAGAGAGAGGGAGGAAGTGGACAGAAAACCAAACGGCTGCATACAAACAACGGGAAATTCCTAACAGATCTCGAAGCAGCAGTTTGAGCATCATGCCTGAGAAAGCACGCTGTCTCTCCAGGACATTTGTACTTCTCTGGCAAAGAAATAGAACCCAAGGAAGGTAGCCTACAGATCGTCTCAGGATCTAATGTACACACCAACAAAATTTAAACAGAAGGATTATAGATGGGAAACAAGGAGAGAAATGGGCCTAATTATTCTCTAAAGGAAAGTATATTTGCACTTAGTTAAAAGTAAATAAAAAACAAATAGCATCTTTATCATTTCTGAACTGTGATTTTACCACTTATGACCAAGTTTACACAAATACATAATATAATGTAAGTTGGATAACTCCATAGATTCTTGCTGGAGAATAAGGATACGGATCTTAGGGAAATGTTGATTGAAATAATAAAAAAGGATAAAGTGGTAGGTCAAGGAAATGAAAATAAAAGGCAGATTTTTTCTCCAGCAAAAAACCTGTCATGATTTTTGAGTAAATGCCATTAAAATAGCACCATATGAGATTTTTGAAGAACATCTATCAAAAGTTTATGTTTGGATGTCTGTTGGCATAGCTGGGGAGTAGAGAGAAGAGCAATGTGTAATATCTCAATTTCAGCCATGGACCATTCTCAGAGGCCAAGGGCAAGGCTGCAGAGACCAAGCAACCAGGCTCCTTTCGACGGTTTAGGAAAGGTGCCCCTTTTCCATAAGAAAGCAGGCTGGATGTCAACTCCCACTTGCCCCTCAGGCCCTGTGCGATGAGTGACCTGCTTGAGTGCTTAGTCCCCCTGGCTGGGGCCACTGAGTGGAAAGTTCTGCTCACAGATAATTGACAATGTCTCATGAAGGCAAAAGGAGGGAGAAATAACTCAGGGTGTTGAGCTGAGTCTATGAAACTTTATACTGGACTGCCTGCCCATCACAGGAGTCAATTTGCCAGAGATCTGAGTGAAGCAGGGGTGAACAATGCAGCTACGATTTTCATGTGCAGAGACAACAACAAACATTCTGTTCACCTCTGGTGTCCAGACTTGAATTTCCCTTGTTTTCTGGTCTTCTTCTTAACCTTACCAAGGCTCAGACCCCCAAAAGACCAACCATGGACTTTCATTGTTTTCTAGTTAGAAGAGAAATGAATTCAACATTGTGTCCTCCATAGCAGATCAACCCTGGAAGCCATATGCATGTCTTCTGAATTTAACAAAAATATCATTAGATTAAAAATTAGAAGGCTTGTTGTCAAAGTCAATTGTACTACTCTGGACAGTAACAAACATGAACAAGTTCCTAGCTCTCAATTTGAATAATAACAATAATTGGGAATGCAACAATAATAACTAACATGCATAGAATGCTTACCATGTACCGTCTTATGTGCAGTAACATATTCAATCTTTGCATTAACCCTATGAGATGTGACGACCATCTTTACAGATACAGAAACTGAGGCACAGAGAGGCTTAGAAAGCGTCTTCAAAGGTTATACCGCCAGTATCATGATTATAAAAGTCTGTCCAGTTCAAATGTTCCTTATAATTCCACTTGGGAGAAAGGTAAACAAATACCAAAATTGCTCACCAGATTTTTTAAGAGGTTATTTCTCTTAGAATAACACTAACATTAAGAAACGTTTTATTTATCAGGTTTACATAATTTGATATTATACAGCTTAATACTGAGCAAGGATCATTAATAATTTACTTGAAGAGCATGCCACCAAAAAAAGGTAAAACTTTTCCAGCCTAGTTTCTTCCCTTTGCCAAATTTCACTGAGGAGTTTCATCAAGCACCATACAGAGGTCGCCTGTGGTGAAATGAAATACACCCTGGTGGTTAGTAGTTCTGCCGCTAGTTTAAAAAACAGAATACATGCCTTGAAGGGTATTTCCAAGAAAGTGGAAAGCTAGTCCTATTAAGAAAGGAGTTAGCAGAGAGAGCCTTGTCCCCCTCTCCCACACATACGTGCAGTTACCATGAAGAGTGGCAACACTTATGCGGTGAGTACTCCACTGACCAGCTTTAAACACAATGTACCAACTAAGCACTGGACCTTGAGACCAGTGACATCTGCTGAGCTACCTCCTTTACAAAAGCCAATACAGCTGAACAGCGGATTGCCAGGATCACACGCCCCAAGTGAGGTCTTCTGTGGGGTTGTACGTTCTATATCTCATCCAAATCCAAACAATGAAAATAGAAGTCCAGAAGAGCTCATTTTGATTTACCATTTTTTAAACATATGTATGAAAACATTCGGACTAGCCGGGCTCGGTGGCTCAGCCTGTAATCCCGCGCCTTTGGGAGGCTGAGGTGAGTGGATTGCCTGAGCCCGCGGGTTCGAGACCCACCTGGGCAGCGAGACCTCATCTCTACAATAAATCAAAAAATCAGCTGGGCGTGGTAGCACATGCCTGTAATTCCAGCTACTTGGAAGGCTGAGGCGGAAGGATCGCTGGAGCCCAGCAGGCGAGGTTGTGGTGGCCGGGAGTGGCCACTGCACTCCAGTCTGGGCGACAGAGTGAGACTCCAACTCAAAAAAAAAAAAATAAAGAAAACATTCGGACTGTTAACTACCCATGTCAGGGATTTAAAATTAAAAACTACCATATCTTTATACCTCAGGAAAGTTATTATTTAGTTATTTGGAAAAGATCTTTTGACCCAACTGAGACAGAATGACTGAGCTCTCCTCTGGGAAACACAGTATTTTACCTATAACTTTCCAACATTAGTTATAGGTGGACACCTCAAAAACCATCTTAGTACTAAAAATTATTTAAGGAATTCTGGAGGACAGAGGGCTTACATATCTTTAAAAACCTTAAAGGCAAGTAAATCCAGGTTTTACCACAACCATGATAGGGGCAAATATTTTTGACAGAAGGGTAACATCCAAGTGCCTTTGTCAAGATGCATTAAGGCTACAGTTATATTCAAATCGTGGATGAATCTTAGAAACATAACCTTTAGTCAAAAAAAGTAAGTTGTACCTGACTACATACACTGTGAGTAGGTGACTGGATGTTCTGATTTGTCCTGCTGTCCTACAATAACTGTTAAAAGCACCCCTCTGCATACATAAAAGTGCCTCAGCTTAGATGATAAATTATACTGTCATCCCAAACATGATACATTTCCATAAAGCTAAAAGCTGAATAAAATTAACATACACTCTATGAATTTGGTTAATTAAAAAAAAAACTCCAATAAAGCCCCTGGAAAACCAAAAGATTAATTTTAAAAAAATTCTAAGAATATTTGAAGTGAAGGAGAGATAAAGAGCTTGGGACAGGGAAGGAACATATAGGTAGATACACGGGCACTGGTAATATCCAAATCTTAAACTGGATGGAGGATTCATGAATATTCACTTGATGGTTCTGTTTCATAACTAGCAATATTACATATGTCCTTTCATTTATACATATAAAACATTCTAGACATTCTATAATAAACATTTATATATATATATATAAATGTTTATATATATGGGGTAAAGTAGTAAAAGGGACTAAAACTAATACTTATGATTTTGATAGGACAGAACAAATGATCAGAAAACATATTAGCAACTCAACATCCATTCTGATAGGCTCGTAGAAAGTGCTTTCTGGCAGCCACCAACACAGGTTAGCCAAGTTGCCCAAGAAATATTTATATATAGTTTGGTGACAAAGGAAACCTAGTTGCTGGGTGGGTCTGAATGAATGAAGTCTGATACTAAACAGGTGCATGAGGATGAAGCAATTGGCAAATAAAGAACCACCTAAATAAATAGCCCCAAGAACTTAAAGGCAGCAGATGATACAGATGTGTGACAATTGAAATAACTGAAAACAGAGCTATCAGGAAAATGAACTCTATCAGATTAAGAGAGAAGGCATGAGTTTGGATCAGTAAGAATGCCTTCCAGGTGTCCAAGCACTGCTGAGTGTCTGAATGTTGTCAGACATTGGTAAGTATAGACCCTAAAAATCTTTTAGAAAACAAGTGCTGTGGTATTGAATACACCATAAAAAAGGCCAATACTCTTCAACAATCTCACTTTAGTGGGGCTCAACAGAGGATCTTAGAATAATTATAAAACATGTGCTAAGATAATAAATAATTGTGTGTTTCTGGAATAAGCAAACTAAAAATACCAGCAAAAAATGGCCATTCAAAAAAAATGGGTGGTTATAATCACTTGTTGAGTATCTTTAGGCACTGAGACTCTCACACGTTTTTGTGAGTATTCAGTTATACTCTTAATGCATGATCCCATCACCAGATTTTTATATAGTAAAATAAAGGAAAGTGAGTTACTGTTGATAAACACTAGTTCTGTCTTGATCATGAAATAAAACAATAATTATTAAGAAAGTTAATACCTGGGATACTTGCGGGAGAAATTGGGCCAGATCGTGACTGGTTGCTTCCTACAGGTGAGCCAACAGGAGACGGGGAGGGGCCCCCCGGGATACTGGAGAGATGTGGGGACGCATGTGGGGAGAAAGGCGACTGCGCCGGGTTGCTCTGATCCCCTTGGCTGCTTGTGGACCCGGATGCACTGACTGCTGAACTCAAAGTTGCTTCCGTTCCCGTGGGGAGGTCATCGATGGAGCCAGACAGATCCTGAGAAAGAAAAAGCCCGCATTAACAGAGTAACACATATGTGGACCAGTACCTGATCACAAGACTACCTGAAATCATAAGGATGTCCCCTTCAGAGAGAAAGTTCTTCTGGACAACACCCAAAATTCAGAGCATGATCACTTTGTATTAGAAGACTTTAATGAGATCATTCATAAGTTGAACCCATAAGACCTTGGCTCTCTCCTAAAAAAAAAAAAAATGAGTAAAGTTGTACTCTCTTTCATAAAACCATCCTTATGCAGTTTGCCATTCAGCTATCAGCACCAAGTCCATTAGACCTGTTCAATGTGTCACACAAAACAGCACTCCACCTGGTGACTTATCACAGGAATGGAATGCCTGATTCTTAACTACTACTTCAATAAACCAAAAAACTACAGGCTTTGGGTCTTTTTATTTAGCATTTAACATTGGTGGACTGTTTGAATTTCAACTAGGATATACTAATATAAAAGCAATTGCAATTTTAACCAAACTTTGTGGTGAGAAATCCTTACACTTTAAGTGGATACAAAGTGCCATTATAATAAAATAATGATATGTGTATTTATATATGACATTGTGAAAATAAACCTCATTGAGTTTATGCATTCTAATATTGCACTTACTTTTCATACTAGTTTTACGTGGTAACAATGCTATCTAATTTTATCATAATACTCTCTAAGGCAGTTATTAAAATCCCAATTAAGGTTACACAACTGAGGACAGAATGCAGGTGCTGGCACCGTTGCCAGAATGTGAAGAAGACAGAGATTTTACTCTGGCCTTCTTCAGAATGGCCTAACATGGGGTCACCACCAGCGGGTGCTCAGTAAATCCATGCAGGCCTGCTCAGTGATGGACTCCTAGAACACCCAATCCACAAATCCCGTGAAACTGCAAGCAAAATGGCAAATAACTTCTAAAGGCTGAGTAGCAATATAAGAGGCATCTGTCCTGGCAGTCCAAGACTATGTACTACAGAATGGAATCAGAGACACCTGGTTATGCTACTGTCCCATGGCGTATTCAATCCTAATAGATGTCCTCTACTCTTTCAATGTTATTACTGTTTAATTTTACCTCACCGCTTACTACTGGGACTTCTGAAACTAGGGCTTTGAAAACTGGTAGGGGAAGATGCTTAATATTCTACAAGTAAATCTAGACCAGAAAGTACAAAAGAAGCAAGGTAAAGCAGAGGTGGTTATAGCTCTTTAGGTTATCCCAAATGTCACAAAGCAAACTCAGGATTAGGACCCTAGTCCCTGGACAACTGTCTGTTGATCATCTGTTATAGTATATAATTAACTTTTCTTTTTTTTTAATAGCAAAACTATCATTGATTAAAAAATACATTCTGAAGTACAGTATAAGAAGATGAATTCTATAGAAAAACAAAATGCCTGCAGTTCCAGCTACTTGGAAGGCTGAGGCGGAAGGATTGCTGGAGCCCAGCAGGTCAAGACTGCAGTGGCTGGAAGCGGCCACTGCACTCCAGTCTGAGTGACAGACTGAGATTCCAACTCAAAAAAAAAAAAAAAGAAAAAAGAAAAAAGCTCCAAAATAAAATGGAGTCAATTTAATCAGATTCTTAAAATTCAGAAATAAATATATAAACATTTCTGCTAAGGACACAAAAAATGCATGCTTTTTGTACATTTTCAGTTGGTAAAACTTTGTATTTAACTTGGTTACTGGGTTCAACAATAGACGTTGTGACAGAGACTATGTGGCCTACAAAGCTGAAAATATTTAGTATCTGGCCTTTATGGGAAAAGTTTGCTGACCCTGATTTTAAAAACCTTATTCACTAGTATTGTCTCCATTGTTTCTATCCCTTTCTTGGGGGAAAAAAATTAATCTAGACAGACTTTTGCTGAACTACACAATGACCTTACTATACAACAGGAATGTTCTCCATCACTACCTCCTCCTAGAAAATGCTAAGTGAGAACCAGAAGGAATTTGACTCTTTTTGAGGGGACCATAAAACCCAGGAGCCATCTATAAAGATGAGTGGTGGCATCAATGAGTCAGATGTGCACATCAAACCTAAAAAATGCCTATTACTAATAAGTAGGGGTCGATCAGACAACAATCAGTGTGGAGGAAATACGCTTTTCATGCTTCTTTAAAAAAAATGGTAGATAACTAGATACAAAACCATTTCCTTTTATACTAAAAATGGAGGTAAACACAGAAAAGACAACACAGGTTCTATTTTTAAAAAATCATCAATCTTTGTTAAATAATTTAATGCAAATCTCTCTTCATACGAAGCAAAATGTTACTTTGAAATTCTTCTAATTCTCTGCACAAACTACAAGCTCCTTTCCGGTCCTCCCTTAAAATTCCATGTTATAGCTGCAAAAGGGACATGGATGGGTGTTAAGAGAGCTTCATTCATGCTGCAAAGGCATCAAAAACATTTCTGTTATTCGACAAGCTGATCAAGGAAGTATCAAGAGAAAAATATAAAAACGGTGGCTTTCTTTATGTTCACGTGTCATCAGAATTTCAGTGCTGACTAGACCTCAGTGTAACAGAACAGTAATAAAAAGATATAATTATTATATTAGTGTTATACACATATGTTAACTTTTATATGTAAATTATACAGAAAGATTCCCGCCCTGCAAATACTTAGGGTATCCATATGTAGAGCTATCTTAAAACATGCTAATAAAAGAAGTTCAACAGTGGTTTAAGCATTCAGCCTAGTTAACAAAGAAGCTCTGTAACTAATACTCCTCCAGAGGACAATTTAGTCAGCAGGGCACCGACTCTATTCTTCTTTTATAAGTACTATCAGATCTACGATCCCTGTAAAGAACTGAGAGACCAGACTGCATCTCATTCTAACCAAGGCACCTTCAAGCTACAGTGCTTCCATTTATCTTGCTGGAAAGCTGGCAGGTAAGGTAATTGCAGGCCGGCTCTTTTAAGGGCTGGAGTCCCCCTGCCCCATGGCAGTCCTGAAATCCTTCCTCTTTTTTTTAATAGAGTGATTGGTAAGGGAAAGACTTCATGGGCTCTCATGCATAGTAAAATCACTATTTCGCTATCATAATTTGATTTGGTAAAATCTTGTTATCAGGTTGACTTGTCAATATCTGACAACACTCAGAATGCTGAATAGTTCCCAGCACACCAAAAATAATGTAACTCCTATCAATGGTTTACTTATTTTTAAAAAAAAATCCTTGTCTTAAAAAACAAACCACACGAAGATTACTTTAAAACTCAATTTAAATGAAAGTTCCCTGCGATGATTTCCCTCTGTACCCATTGCACCACCACTGTCTCTCTGTCCATGTCAAATTTTCATTCTAACCCTAGTGACAAGCACAAGAGATTTCCCTGTGTTTAGAAGGAAATGCCGCTGGAGTGCAATAATGATCCTATCAGACTTCTAAAGGAGAAACAGTACAAGTATGTTCTCATTCTCTAAGGTGGGACAGGCTTTCGGGGAGGCACCAGAAGGACTCTGGGGACACGCCATTAAGGCACACAGGAAGGACTTCTGAAGATCTGCAGATAGATACAAGGCAGGTGTACCACAAAGCACAAGTATTTTCATGTCTATATATGGTGCATGGTCCTCTCTGAAAATATACTAATACATTATGACTAACTACATTAAAAGATATCTTTAGTATTGAAGGTATTCAATTTAGCATAAGTTAGCTCACCTAAGGATAAATTCAGTCAATACTGATGATGTTTTACTGTCTTAAAGAACTGGGAATAAGCCAGAAAATTTTACTCCCTTGCTTAATTAAATAAGTAGGTTTTTAAAAAAGCAAATGAACTTCAAAATACTCTAAGCTATGGTTCTCAACACAATTAGTTGGTGGTATTAGATCAGCCGCTGATAGCGAGCTGCAGAGCCCCACACACATTTGGGCATCTCTTGCACAGAAGTGCCCCAGGAGAGCATGAGGATAAACACTGAATTAGAAATAGAGAAGATATTTCAATCAATGAGACCAGTTCAGGTCTCTTGTTTAAGGATTTTAATAGGATACAGTTAATGATTTCTCACTGTGACTTCCCATGGGTTTAAATCCTAGGTTAAAATGCCAGTTCAATGGTCTTCAAAAAAGTCTCTTAGTCATCTTCAAAAGCAGAAATAGCGTCTCTCCTCCTTTTATAAGTACTATCAGATCTATGATCTGAGTATAAAATAAAGGCATGAGTTTTTGGGTTTTTTCTTTCCTCAGTGAGGCCCCTTGTGCCAGGTGTGGTGCTAAAGATAGGATGGCTATGACTGTTCACTGGTAAATATTACTAAATGTATAAGCTCTACAGTAAAATACAGCTGCAAAAACTATACAAAGTAATCCAGCACATGCAAATATTTCTAAATATTTACGATAAATGCTCTACTGAAAACTACTGACTTGACTATTAAAATTTAGTGATGAATTCTCAGTCCTCTGTTTACAATTAGCGTCCTGGAGGTCAAAGTATTCAGCCTCATTAGAATCCTGGATCTTTCGAAACATACTGTGAAATCACTTCATACTTTCCACCCTTATTTTGGAAGTATCATTTTGGACATGTAATACAAACACACTGGGAAACTGATACAAGAATCGAGCCAATGGTTTGACTGATGTGTACACACAAAAGGAAAAATCTCACAGTGACAGTGTTTAATTTTCACAATGTTTAAAGGCTTTTCTTCAGCAAAAACCCGTGTTGTAATTGTGCATTTTAAGATACCTACCAAAGGCCCTGATGCTTTCATTGTCTAGATAGCAAATTAGTTAATAGCTTAGACTTACCATATAAATTTAAAAAACTGCAAAGACACCAGGAAAATAGAATCCATGAGGAAAATCCTTCCAAGTACTTATTGTTAGGTCTTAAAAGCATTCTCTTTCTGTAATACTTGCCTCATTTTTTAAACATGTCCAAATAAATATTTATCTTTTCACTATGAAACAACATATACAATACATAGCCTTAAGATGTATGAGGTCAACTGG